TTAGTACGAAAAAAAGTTTTAGATGGCAGACGTCTTATTTCGCCTATTCTCCAGTTCATAGGCGGATTATCAATTAATGTATTTAATATATGATAAATTATTTTCAGAAATGCTTTGCCTGCATGTATCAATCATCTATTTTTTCAGACCTTTTATGAAGAAGTTTGTACAGTTAATTAACTTAACCTGGCCTATAATAAGTGATTAGAATTTTAATAGTCTCTAGAAATTAGATGAAGCTATATTTAATCTATATGGACACCTTTAAACCATTCTGATACTGTAAAAGAAACTGAGGAATTGTTAGAAAATAATTTTATTCCTGTTATTACTGGGAAACTAAAAGTGTAAATTCACTGATTTTATTCAAAATTTAGTTCCTAAATATAAAATAATTTATTTAGCTTGCCCAAGAGTAATTTTGGATCAAAAACATTCCAATAATAGTTTCAAATTATTTAGTGATACTATACTACATATACAATTCAATTAGATCTAAATGTCAAAACTAATGATTATTTTATTGAAATGGAATTGGATATAGAAAATACTTTAATAGCAATAGATGAATTTTACGAAATGAATAAAGACACATTATAATTAATAGACAAGTATAAAGGTAGAGTAATATTATTATCTGCTACTTCAGTGCCAGTGCCTAATTCAAAGGTTATTGAACTTAGAAAATCTAGAAATCCTTATGAGATTATAATATTATTGACACCAAATAACTTACATTTTGAATCTGCTGTCTTTCATTATTTAAAAGAGTTTTTAAAATCTAGAATTTTGATTATTCATCCAAGCCTAAAAGAAGTTTTAAATTTATATTACATATTAGCAAGTTCTTTGTTGCATAAGAAAATACAGAAACTTAACTCTAAAAATAACAAAATAAATGATGATATATATATTTTTGTTGCCACTTCTGTTGTTGATGCTGAATTAACTATACCAACTTTAGAATTAATTATAGATTTAGGTTTATCTTTAGGTTCAAAAGATGTAAATTCAAAATTTATGTCTCAAGTAAAGCTACAATGATCTAAAGAAAAGGTTGAACTGATAGACAAAATAATGATTATATTCATTTACATGATAGATATGATAGAAAGCTTTTTGATCCATCAATTTCATTTATATATAATTTCTCAAATTTATTTAAGATGTTTTGGGTACTATGCCAAAATATTATTCTTTAGAAAAACTTGTTATAATTCTATTTGCACAGACTCTAGTGTTTTGGTCTATTTAATTTTACTGTTCTTAAATTCGAATAAAGATGCAAATCAATTATATATAAACTTGTTATAGAATAAAATTAATAGTACTACTTATTTTTTATTGAAATACTGTATAAACCAACATTTTTCATATAAAAAATATTCTTTCTATGAGCAACCACTCGATTTTGAATAAATTAAAGAAGAGTTAACTCAGTGATCATTACAACATTACATGTAGGGATGGTTAGGTTGGTTTAGGTTTGGTTTTGGTTTTAAAACCTTTAGGTTCTATTTTGTAAATCTAAAACTTGGTTTTTAAAAAGTTCTGGAACCTGGTTCTAAACCTGGTTCTAGAATTGGTTTCAAAGCCTAGCTTTAAAACCTGAATAAAACATAAGTTTTATAGTATAGTAAGACCTCTAAATGCAACTCCCTAGTATGCATACCCTGTGAAAGCCCTTCGTAAATATATGTCTTCACTTGGGTCTAACTAATACAGTGAAACCTCAATAAATATGACTTTATAAGTACATATCTTCTCTAAAGCATTCTTAAATTCAGGCTCAAATAAATACATGACTTCTATAATGCACCTTTTTTTTATTGTTTTTTAAGAACCTATCATGAATTTAAAAACCTATTATGAACTTAAGAACTTATTATAAACCTAAGAACCTATTATAAATCTAGACTTAAAAACCTATTATAAATCTAAGAACTTAAAAACCATCATAAACCTAAAAATCTAGATTCCAAAATTGGAACCTAGTTTTTAAAAACCAGGTTCTAAAAACCAGGTTTTAGGTTCCAAACCTAGCAACTTTACCATCCCTAATCACATGACAAGTATTCGGCCTAAGTTAGGGTTAGGTTAGGGTTAGGGTATATTTAGGCCAGTTTGTTTTAATTCTGGTAAACAAATGACGTGATTGTCGATCACTGAGTTAACTGTTCTTCAAGTGTCCCTCGATTTTAACTTCGAAGGTGTAACCTGGGGCCAGAATCATTTTTCGAAGTATTTCTATTACGCGTAATAAATAAAGATCATTGCTCATCTTTTGTGACGGCAAATGAAAGACGTAAAAAAGTAAGGTAAATAGATTAGCAAGAGATAAAATGGGATCTTTGCTATGAAAATGACCCTCCGAGGCTATGTTGATTTTGTGAATAAAATTTGCCAACCATCTAGTTATCCAATTCGAATGATCTTTTTTTATTTTTGTAGAACTTATTTAGCTCCACAAAATAAAAAAAAGTTCATTCAAATTGGATAACTAGATAGTTGGCAAATTCACAAATCAACATAGCCTCGGAGGGTCAAAGATCCCAAATAATATAGTGTATTGTAAAAAATAAAGGCGTGAAGAAAAATTAGTAGGGAGAAAAAGTGATCCTTATATACCTTTTAGAATCTAAATAATTTCGCGATTTACCCCTTAACACGTAATAATTTTTCCCATTACATGAAACTCGTATGTTACACGGTTTTAATACAACCAACATTAGAATCAACCTAAGAAATTTCCTGACCGAAATTTTTTAGATTGACGACACTAGACAAGATGGTTCAAATGACTGTAGAAATTTGTGAAATGAGATTATTGTTACGTGTATAAAAGGAAAGTAATTCAAAAGGTTTACGTAGATCAAAGATAGAGTATATTAATAAACTTATTGATCACCATTTTATATAAAAAATGTCCTATAACAATTTTTTGTTACAAAATTGTAATATACAAGAGTATAAAAAAGCATTTAGGAGAATAGAACACAACTCCTTAGCATTGGCGTTTACTTTATTATAAGCATCAATTCATATGTAAATAACAAAAATATGAATCGTTTAGGATAATAACAACAAAAGTATATATTAAGTTATTAAACAAAAAACTCTTCCTCATCAGGATCGGGCCCTGCAGGTAAAAATTCCTCACCAGGGCACATCTTCTCGAAAAACTGTCTTGCTTGAATAGTAGCTTCCTCAAAATCTAGTGAAGAATCTGGATCTCCTGCAAGAATGATATTCTCGGGTACTTCTGAAGAAATAGATGAAGCAGCTCGTTGTTTGTGTCGGTAGAACAATGCGAACAGAGGATTCGGTCTAGAATCTGATAATGCACCTAAAATTGGTTAAAAAAAAAATATTAGCCATTATTATAATATAGTTTCTCTTACAATCGACTAGAGAAAAAAAAAATACCCGCCTTTATCTTTGTTAATTGTGAAATTAACCAATTTATCTAAAGCGTTAACCAAATCTTCTTTGGCGCTCTGACCGTTCGCTTTCGTGGACAAGTATAAAACGTCTATCCATCATCGATAAAGAAAAATGGATAGCTGTGAATATAATGCTTCATCCTTTGATGTTATATGACCACATGTGACAGATAAACAAATGAAAGAGCCTCGAATAAGAAGACATCCAATAAAGACTAACATCTGTCTTCTGGGCATGTTTGCGTTCCAGCAGATAATTGGAGCACGGTTATAGGATATTTATTTTTCACTGTTCCTGGTGGGTAAATGGTTAATGATGCATCACCGTTTTCTTCATGTATAAATTTATCTATGATCACTATCGCACGTGACGTTGTTTCCCTATATCATTATTAGAGAGTTGATATTGTCGACGATTCGACAAGATGTTGAAACTATTAGTATAATTTAACACATACCAACACTCGTCGCCTTTGAAAAATACTGGTGGAAGGTAGTCGATAGATGAGACCAAGAAAGTAGATGATATTTGTTGATCATTCACATCTATTAATCCTGTGAACTTATTTGAGCCCTCATCAATCAAAAGGTATTTTACTGAATGATCAAGCATATAAATTCCACCATATACTGCACAGATTCTAAAAATAAAAGGTTCAATAAAGCAGTTTAAGTAATATTCTTTCTACTTAAAGTCACGTGATGTGGTAAATATAAAAAAAAACAAGATATCACACCTACAAAATCCTTGTGCTATTTCGCTACCACAACCATATAAACCAACTAAAAATGCAGTATTACCATATCTACCAAGTGATCTAAGATATCTCTGTGTTTTTTCCAAACCTTGTATGGTGTTAACTAGGTTTACGAAAGTGATTAATTCAACGATAAATCATGTAAGCAACAGCATATGACCAAATCTAAATATTTCTAACCATCATTTGCATTGGTACGAATCAAAGCAATCGCGTATAAGACAGCCATCAATAATTTTCCATCAATTTTGAATTTCTCAGTAAGTAAGGTAACAAACGATTTCTCTTCATAGTCTGTAAATATTATATATTTATTTTGTTAGAGGAGAGAATATTAAAATAAATTTCTATTAAACATCTAATTACCCTTATATATATCTGGAGAATTGGTATAATCTAACGCAAAAGTTAAAAATCTCATCAATTTGCGTTTTTCAACCAAAGAAATAGACTTGTTGGTAAAAACGTCTTCTTTAGAACATGGGACCTAGTGTTTAAAAAAAAAGTTAGTATTCAACTCATTTTGTTTAATATAGTATAGGTGGGCAGTATAAGTAACAAAAAATTAACTGATAATCAGTAATTGCATGGTCACGTGATATATGGCCACCTGTACTGTAAATCCGTAGCTAATGATTCTCAAACCTTATCAAACGCATCTATAGAATAGATATAAGTCTTATCCATTGCTTTAAATTCCAAATATCTTGCAACTCCAGAGCTAATCAAGAGTTCAATAAGCTCTCCACGACAAGATACAAATTTTGGTGCCAAATCCAAGTTGTATCGTTTTGACTCTTTTAATAAAATAGCTAAAGTTTCAATTCTCTCAAAATTGGACAGACTTGTGGACACGTAACGTAAAGTTTCTTCTGACATGTTTTCAGATCTTTTATGCATTTGAAGAAGTTGTGCAAGACGAGAAGATTCAATAGCAATGGCCTCTTCATTTTCTCGTGTCCTAACAAGAATTTTTGATTTGAACTGTTCAGTAATCACGTTTGCAATAGCATCACTTTGTTCGTATTCTTCAGAGGTCAATAAAAATCTTGCTAAAGCATCATAATCTGGTTGAGTGATTGCAGAATCCGCCATATTATCATCCTCATCATCTTCATCATCCTGTAATGTTTCTTGACTTTCTATCTTTGGATCGGTTTCTGAATCTTCATTTTCTACCAGAGGAATATCATCCACTTGTTTAGGAATTGTATAAATTTCATATTCAATTGTAGAATATGCTTGTTGTCGAACCTTTGTAAAATTAGTCACCAAGGCTTTTTTGCCTTCAATACCTGAACATGATAGTATATTTCAACACTTAATGTTTCGAAAAAATATTGCTTTTTTTTTTATAAAACGTAAAAAAATTGATTGATCATTTACGTTCTTGATTGCTTTTATTTATTAAAGGTTCAACAAATCCTGAAAGTTCAATAATTTCTTAATATAAAATTACGTGTAATATGAAACATTAAAGAAATAATATTCACTTTGACTAACCTTGAATAGAGCGAGTCCATTCTAAAAGATCTCTGAAATTAAGAGAACTCCAATTTCCACCATAAAAGTTGTTTGAATCTAAATGTAAAACAGACTTTCCGATCCTTGCCAAAGCCCTAAATATATATTTTTCCTTTTAATATAGTAGTAAAATAAAAATAACATCAGTTTAAACTTACCCGGCAAGAATTGACTCTATATAACCTGTTCCAAGGATAATAACGTCATATTCCGTTACTTCCAAGAGTTGAGGCATTATTCAGGTTTCCTTTATTACAAACTGTACTTGTAGAATATATACGTACACTTTATTCTACGTACATGTATGTATGTGAGTAACAGGTAAGTACAAACGTGCTTAAGTACATACTAGTACATTGCAGCTTAATTTAGGTTTCACTACATTATGTTTCACACGTCCCACGTTGATACTTTCAATTTATCGCTTGAAGTTGACCAACGTTCGCAGGGATACACTTCAACTCATTAAAAAAGGTATGTACTTGTTTTTTGATATTTTACCATCGGAATGGCAGAAAAGACTATATTTTGGCTAGCTAAAGTTTGCCATGTCAGTGTTAATAATAAAAAAAAATTTTAGACCATCGCCGTTGGAATCCAAATGACAACGGTTAGATCAATATGAATAGATTTTAGATATATGATATACAAGCAACTCTTTCTGTACCGAACCGAGTTTGTTAAGAAAATGAAAAAAACGTTTCAATTTAAAAGAATATAAACTGAACTTCAAAATAATAGTTAAACTTGGTTTTAGACAGATTTTAAATGTTCGATTTACAGAGGGTTGACCGTACAGTAGTATTATTTACAAGAAAAGTGATTTTGCAAACAAATTATTTACCATTTTTAATTCTTTTAAATGTTATGTGCTTAGGTTTCTTACCATTACAACCATAGACAAAGGGAAATATCGATTTCTCCATTTAACATCCATTAGCTCCTTTTTCCCTTTACTTTTTTTTTTGAGAATTGGTTTCGCCGGAGTTAGTCTTTTGTCTCCCACTGGTTTTAAGTTTCCTTCGTTATCACACAAAAGAAAAAATAAAGGTTTCGCCTGACGATTATAGATGTCACCACAAGCAAAAAATAACACAGAATACAAACTTCAACGAATTCTTGATTATAATCAAAATCTTCGGCAACAATTAGATTTACCTCGCGTAAAGGTGTCACATGCTAGTTCACTGTACGTGTACATTTAATTTAGATAATAAAAAAAAAAAAAAAAAGTGGATTCAAATTGTTTAATTTTAATTATTTTAATTATTTTAATTATTTAAATAGGCTCATAGAATATGTCCAATCCACCAAAGATTTCCTGGTACCATCAGTATGGGGTCCAGCCGGACCTGCTGACCCGTTTGTGACGAAAAACAGAGTTTTTTGTGGAGATTGTATTATTTTATAATGAAAAAAAACAAACAAAAATAGGTGAAAGTTAGGCAGTTGGATAATTGAAATCTTGATAATTACAATTTAACATATATAGGCAATGAATGTATTTGCAACATTTTATATTTTCGCATTTTACACTCTTAATCTTTTAATCATATATTATAATAAAGTATTTGAAATTTCAAGAGATTCCTCTTTTTTTTTTTGATAAATTCTTCTTTTTTTTTTTTTTTTTTTATCTATCCTTTAAAATATTATCAACCATTTCAGCAATAGCCAATGATGAAGTTAGGCCTGGACTTTCAATTCCAACCAAGTTTACAAATCCATCAAGTCCACATTCAGTTTCTTCCTTTATTACAAAATCTCTGAATGGTTCGCCTGGCCCCGATAATTTTGGACTATTTTTTAAACAAATCAATAAATTAATTTAATTAATTAATTAATTAATTAATTAAAATTTTATAAAATTAACCAAGTTATTACCGAATCCCAGCATAATCAGCATAAAGTCTATCTTTTTTAATCCTTGGTAAATACGTTTTTACAGCGTTAAAAAACGTATCTTTCCTACTTTCATCATCATTTATTCCGTAATCATCTGGTCTTTGAACATATAGAACATCAGGACCAAATCTCATTCTACCATTTAAATCCAATGTTAAATGTGTTCCTAAATTTACCAAATTTTTTGGGGGAACAGGAAAAATCAGATGACTAACTTTGATATCATTACCATGATATCTATAATAATGTCCTTTAACATAATAAATTTTGTAGTGATGTGAAGGAGGTAATATCACATTCGCTATTTTATCAGAATATAATCCCGCAGAATTTATCACCGATTTTGCGAATATTTTTATCTTTGATGGTGTGGAATTGGTTGATGTAATTTCTACGATATATCCTCTCCTATCACCATCATTACCAGGAATTATATTGGTGACTTTAGAATTGACAGCAATATCACCATAATTATCTATAATTCTCCATTCTAACCAATTCATAAAAGCATGAGAATCAAAGATTCCAGTGGTTGGAACAACCAAGACATGCATCGCATTTACATGAGGTTCTTGCGATTTTTGAAGTTTCTCGGACAAAAAGTAAGTTGGAATTCCTAAGTTTGAGGATTTCTCATGGATAGCTGTTAGATAAGCGAATTCATCATCAGTTTGAGCTATTACCCATTTACCTAACCTATAATATGGAATGGTTAAAGATTTTGAATTTTCTAAAGAGGTTGGTACTAATAAAGAGTCTACTATAAAAGAAGAATCAACAGTTGGGGAATCATTGTAGTTTATTTGATTAGAATGGTTTGAAAAAAGAAGTGAATATAAAAGTCGCTTTCCACGAATACATAATCGTGTTTTTAAACTATTAATTGGGTAATAAAATCCAGAATGAATAACTTCGCTACTTCGCGAACTACATGTATAAAAAGTTAGTATGAAATGAAGATAAAATAATTAATATAGTTTTATTATTACCTTGTTTCTTCATTAACCCTAAAATTCTTTTCAACCAATAAGGTAGATTTTCCTTTTCTTTTTGATAATCGTTCTGCAACAGCCAATCCAACAGCACCACCACCAATGATTAAATAATCTACTGAAGCATCAAGAGGTTGTGAAGGACTAAAGCTTGAGCTAAAACGAGAATTAGATTTAATAGATAAAAAAGAATATGACGAAATACAAGTATTTTTTAAAAAAAAATAAGGCAATGGGCGTGAAAAAATTCTCATTTTAAGTGGTTTTAAAATGGATCACTATTATTTGAAACTATAAGAAAAGGGGAAACGGGCTTAAATGAAAATTTAAAGTTAGTACGTGCGTCCAAATTGTAACATATATGATATATCGATATATGCGTAGCCTATTACAGTATTAATGTAATCTGTGTGTATAAATGTAAAGTGCGCCACCGGGTCCTTAGGTTGAAAAAAAAAAGTTAGTTCGGTCTTAGAGCACGTGATTACGAGTACTAGTGTGTACGCACGTACTGTACGTACTGGTGCGAAATATATCATAGCGATAGCGATAGTGATTCTTCCGATCAAGATGTCAATGCTCCAAACTCATTACTATTTATTAAATTTTAGTGTTGGCATATTAACTGAGAATTTAATATTGGACAAATGGAACAAGTTTCGTTTATATTACATAGATATATATATATTTATGTAATTAAAGTGAAAACTTATGATTTGACCAGGAATGTTAGTAATTAAGATGGGCTCAACATTTTTGAGGGATTCTACATAAAAAGGTAATCCTTATAATCTTTCTATTGACATACTTGAGTGCTCAATTTCTATTTTGGTTAAATAACGATAAAGCGAGTTTTTGATGAACGGATATAAACCTGTTAAAAATAAATGGTTTTCGATACATTCTAAAAATGGGTATTCGGCATGTTTATAATGATTCTGATTCGGGTAATTTAATCCCGTTCTTTTGACAAATAAATTGTAAAACTTTTTTGATTTGCTTCTTACTTTTCCCTCCAAAAGTTATATTTCTAAATGCCTAACTACAAGAATCTGTAGTCGTTGCTGTTATTGTCAAACACTTGGTTTTTATGAAACTAAAATATACATATGTAGGGTGAATTCTTTTTTCGCTAAGTTATCTTACTGATTCATAGTGTATTTGAAGTTATGCTTCCTCGCCGACTTAGCCGACTTAATAAATCTGATAAAGAATTGAAAGCACATCTGACCAACTGTTTCGATAGTTGAATGTTCTCCTTTATTAGTTGTAGGTCCCTGCTGGGAAGTTGATAAATGAAATACATACTGCACATAACCGTAAAACTTTCGGTCCGACCGCGCACTTTGTTAGTTTGATAATAATAACACAAGTATTAAGTATTCATGATTTTTTATCTATTTAGTGAATCAGGCGATAGAAAAATCGATAATCCTATGTGAAGCTATGTAAGTTTAAGGCCTCAAAGTATTGATCCAATGTAAATATTGAGAAAAGGTTAAATCAATAGGTAAATAGTTATTTTGTTATTTAAATAATAATGATATTTAGGCCAGACCAAGTTGATTATGTGTTTTACATTACCCCCCTCTCCCCTCCAGAAGAGGGGGTGGGGGGGAGGAGGGGTGGTTCACATAGTAAAATTTTAAAAATTTTTTTTTCAAAAAAAAAATTTTTTCCGAATTGTTCCATGACTGTATAAAAATTTTCCGAAATATCCCGTAGCCCTATGTATATTTATCTAAATTTTTTTTACTATGAGGGAGGGGGGCTCTGAGGAGGGGAAGGCTCTGAGGAGGGGGGGCTCTGAGGAGGGGGGGGGAATGTAAAACACATAATCAACTTGGTCTGGCCTTAACGATATCAT